TTTGTAACACATCATTCGTATTTTTATATGGCATACTTCAAAATTCATCTTCACTTCTCACAAGAGAAAAACACATAATTGTTGCCTATAATTTATTAAATAAGAATTCTACACCATCTTATTTACACTTCAGTTATTTTTGTGTTACATCTCATATTCTTAAGTGCATTATAAGAAAACATGAAATTAGCTAGGAGCGTGGGTTAGGGGGGAAACCCCTCACTAAAATAAATACATTTGTTTGGGGTTAAATCCCTCGCAAAACACAAATAGGGAAGAAAAAAAAATAAAAACAATTAGTTAGGGGATACCTCTCGCAAACAAGGGGGAAAAACTATTTTGAAATTTGAAAAATGTTTTTACTAGGTTCAGCGCAGAATTTGGTGGGAATGGTTGAACATTTGCGAGGGGGTAGCCCCTCACCACGTCACGGTTTACAATTTGCGAGGGGCCTCCCCTCACCAATTGTCCTATTTTAGTCAAATCCTTCTAAAAATGTATTTATTCCTCTGTCAAATTGTCTGCCACATGCCAACAGTGGCTAGGGGCATCCTCTCGCAAATGGCCCATTGAATTCTTGCGTGGAGGGACCCCTCGCAAATGACGCCACATCATTTGTCCGTTGGGACTTACCTGGAGGAACCCCTCGCAAAAGGCAATTTTAAATGCCCAAATCATTTCCAAACCTATCAGTCATTTACTTTGCATTTTCTTCTCCATTTCATCTTCTCCATTTTTCTTCTTTAGTTTTCTTCTTTCCTTCCATGTTCCACCATTTTTGTCCCTCTTCATAAAAGTGAGTTGTTTTATTTATTTATATTATTTTCGTATTTATAATTTATTTTATTGTTTAGATTTATTAATTTTATTTATTTATTTATTTGTTATGTTGCATGTACTGTGGATAATATATAAAGCTATCTAATTTTTCTCAAGAGGAACTGCGAATTTGGGAGAGCATCCAAAAGGTACACACTTCGGTTTTTTTTAAGATGTTATATATATTTTTATTTTAAAATTTATGTTCATGTTGGTGGCGGTTGATGTATAAAAATTTTTGTAAAGAAAAATTTATGTTGGTGGCTGTTGAAATTTATTTTGTAAAGAAAAATTTATGTTGGTGGTTGTTTTTTCTTAAGATATTAATATTTATGTATATTTCGAAATATATTTTGTAAAGAAAATATATTTTATTATAAAACAGATTTTAATATTTATATTATAAAACATATTTAATATATTGTTATAAAAATATTAATATTATATATTATTTAATCAAAACAATATATATATATATATATATATATATATATATATATATATATATATATATATATATATATATATATATATATATATATATATATATATATATATATATATATATATATATATATATATATAATTATAATACAGATTTTAATTAAAATATTAGTATTATATTTATTAACATATTTTATAAACATATTAAAAACAGAATATTAGTATTATATTTATTAAAAACAGAATATTAATATTAGTATTATATTTATTAACATATATTATAAAACAGAATATTTTATAAACATATTAAAATATATTAGTATTATATTTATTAAAATATTAGTATTAAAAAAGTATATATATTTATTAACATATTTTATAAACACATTAAAACATAATATTTATTAAAACATATAAACAGAATATTTTATAAACATATTAAAACAGAATATTTATTTACATATTTCCTTAAAACAGATATTATAAACATATTATTTATTAAACAGAATATTTATTAAAACATATATTATAAACATATTATTTATTTAAATTTATTATAAACAGATTTTATTATAAACAGAATATTTAATTATTATAAACAGATTTTATTAAAACATATTATATATTATTTTTAAAAACAGAATATTTATTTATTTAAATTTGAAAACATATTATATATTATTTTTATAAAAGAATAGATTATATATATTAATATACACTTTTATTTAAAAAGTATGAGTTAAATCATAAAAATATATAATTTGTAATATATTTAAGTAACATATACAAACTTTTTATATAAAGTATATAATTTGTAATATATACATTTTCTAAAATATTAATATAATTTTTAATACATTTTCTAAAATGTAATATATACATTTTCATAAAAGTATTTATTTTTTAAAATATTAATATAATTTAGTAATATATTTATAAGAAACATAATATTGTTGTAAAAAGTATGTAAATTTGTGAAAATATGTTATAATTTTATTTCAAAGTTGTAAGTTTGTGAAACATAATATTGTTGTAAAAAGTTTGTAAGTTTGTGAAAATATGATATGTTAGTTAGGTCAATAGTTATAAGTTTGTAGGTAGATCAATTTCCCTTTTCTTAAATATAAATTTAAACATGAACAACATTATACATGTGCAGTATGGAATATTATCAGTTCTATCGTAGTTGGATGTATGATAGAACGTATCCAGGAAGACGTGGGCTTAAACCACATTTTAAAGAAGGAGTTGTTGCATTTCTTACTTATGCGTTTGCTCAAGAATGTTGTCGAAGCGAAGGAGGGGTAAGATGCCCGTGTTTAAAGTGTGGTTGCAGAAATATAATTAGTGATCCAAATGAAGTGAAACGACACTTGGAGAAAGATGGTTTTAGGCCAAATTATTGGGTGTGGTATTCTAATGGAGAAATACTGCCAGAGATGAATATAGAGGCTTCAAGCAGTCAAACACATATTGGAGTTGAGATAGGCAAAGAGACATCAAGCAGTCAATCACATTTGCAAGACCATGAACAATTTAATCTCATAGATGATATGGTTGGTGATGCATTAGGGGTGAATGTGACTTATGATGAACCTCAAGATTTTGATGCAGATGAGCTCCCGAACGAGGAAGCACAAAAGTTTTATCAATTGTTGAAAGAAATAAATATACCACTGTTTGAGGGGTCTTCTGACTCCATGTTATCCATGTGTGTGAGACTCTTGGCCGCGAAGTCAAATTAGAATGTTCCTGATCAGTGTTTAGAATTCTTTGCAAAAATGATGTTGGATGCGACTCTTGTGAAAGAAAACATGCCTACAAGTTATTATGATGCGAAGAGAACGGTGTCGAAGTTGGGACTAAAAGTGAAAAAGATTTATTGTTGCATTGGGGGTTGTATGTTGTTTTATGATAATGAGTTTAGTACAAATGATGGGGGATTGGAGGAATGTAAGTTTTGTCAGAGTCTGAGGTATTTAGCCCACAGTAAAGGTGTTGATCGAAAACAAAAACGAGTTGCAGTGAAGTCCATGTTCTATCTGCCAATAATTCCTAGATTGCAAAGGATGTTTGCGTCAATTCATAGTGCAAGCCAAATGACATGGCATCATACAAATTCCAATAGTTCAGGAATGATGCGACATCCATCTGATGGCGAGGCATGGAAACACTTTGATAGAGTACATACAGATTTTGCAGCAGAACCCAAAAATGTCAGGCTCGGGTTATGCTTAGATGGTTTTACTCCTTATATCCAATCGTTAGCAATTGCCTATTCTTGTTGGCCAGTTATTGTTACCCCATACAATAACCCTCCCGAGATGTGCATGACGAAACCTTACATGTTTTTGACATGCCTCATTCCAGGAGCGTCGAGTCCAAAAGCAGGAATAGATGTTTATTTGCAACCTTTAATTGATGATTTGAAGAGGTTGTGGATTAGAGAAGGGACTTATGATGTGTCTCGCAGACAAAACTTTAATATGCGAGCTGCTTTGATATGGACAATTAATGACTTTCCTGCATATGGCATGTTATCTGGTTGGGGTACGCATGGCAAAATGGGATGTCCACATTGCATGGGACACACAAAATCGTTTACTTTGCAAATGGGTGGTAAAAGTTCATGGTTTGACTATCACCATAGATTCTTACATATGAACCATGTTTTTAGAAAAAATAAGAATGCTTTTAGAAAAGGAATAAAAGTAACAGATCTTCCTCCCCCTCGACTGTCATCGACTGAAGTATGGAATAGTGTTAGTGACCTGCCAAAATTCACAGATAATGGTAAAACATGCAGAATTCCAGGATATGGGGATACTCACAATTGAACAAAAAGAAGTATTTTTTTGGGACCTCCCATATTGGAAGGATAATTTGTTGCAACATAATCTTGATTTTGTGAATATTGAGAATAATTTTTTTGATAATGTATTTAACACAGTGATGGATGTCCAAGGCAAGACAAAAGATAATGAGAAGGCTAGAAAGGACTTAGAACCTTTGTGTAACCGAAAAGACTTGGAGTTAAAACCCCAACCAAATGGAAAATTATTAAAACCCAAGGTTTGTTACACTCTTACTCCCCAAGAAGCAAAAGCAATATGTCGATGGTTAAATGAGTTGAGGATGCCCGGTGGTTATTCTTATAACTTAGCAAGATGTGCTGATGCAAAAACAGGAAAGCTGCATGGAATGAAAAGTCATGATTGTCATGTTTTCATGGAACGATTGCTTCCAATTGCATTCAGTTCACTTCCTAAGCATGTTCTTAATCCACTAATTGAGATTAGTCAATTTTTTAAAGACATTTGTTCGTCAACTTTACGAGTAGATGACATCTTTAAGTTGGACCAAAATATTCCCATCATTCTTTGCAAGTTAGAGCAAATATTTCCCCCAGGTTTCTTTGATTCTATGGAGCATCTCCCTGTGCATCTTACTTACGAAACTTACCTTGGTGGACCTGTTTAATATAGATGGATGTATCCATTTGAATGATTCGTGGGTGATTCAAAGCGATCTGTGAAAAATAAGGCGAGAGTTGAGGGATCAATATGTGCACATTATTTGCATCGAGAACTTCACATTTTTGCTCGCATTATTTCAATCATATGATGTTGACTCCGAGAATCATAAGGAATGAAGTTCACTTTACTGAAAGAAGTCAATTCACCTTATTGGGTTTTGGCCGTCCCGGTCGTCCTTCTAGAAAGACAAGTGTGCATTGGTTGTCTGAAAAAGAAATGCAATCTGCTCATGTTCATGTGTTGATTAACTGCGTTTAAGTTAAACCATATCTTGAGTGGTGAGGATGGTGTGTTGTAATCAAGTCTAATCTAATGGGTTATATTGAATCTGATGGTGTAATGGAAGATGATGTTGCATACCAAGATGATGAGATTTCACCAGTGAATGGGGTAATTAAAATTAAGGAGATTACAAGTTTGGGTGATACTTTTATTGTGGGTCAACAAGTTGATGCAACCATCTTGTTATCAGCAAATCATGTGGAAGAAGAGGAGGAAGAGTCAAGAGACTCTGAAGACGACAATATTGTATCTGATGAAGACAATGATGATTACAATGATGAATAAATTAAATAATATGTATTATGTAATTATACTATTGTGCAATAATACTACTATGTAATATGTATTGTTATATATATAATACTTTTGCGTAATTGCTTGAATTAATTTACTTTTGTCATTTTATGAAATATTTTAGTTTAAAAATACCACCCCGAAGTGAGGAAAAGGGTAAGGGTAAGGCTCGCCGCATAAGATTCGTTGTAGAAGAGGTTCCAAATTCGTCTATGTTTATTCCTATGCCACTTTCGAGTCAGGTGCATCCTACTCCATTGCCTGTGCACCCTACTCCATTGCCTGTGCACCCTACTCCACCGCCTATGCAGACTTCACCCATGTCTGGCGGATCTTTCACCGGATTACTATCCACATCTGATTTTCCTTCATTCCCACCGATATCAGCGCCGACCTTTATTAGTCCTCCTGGATATGCACCTATTATGCATCCCAATACCCCGCATCCCTCATATTTTCCGATTCCTTCCATGAATTCAAGCGGGTCTAGCGTTCTGATGCCTTCCATGCAGTATTCTATGCCATATACGGAGGCTGGTGGATCTGGCATGCCACATGCATCACCTGTGCATTCTATACATGATGAGCAAGATGAGGAGGGTGATACTAGTGCTCATGGTCATGGAGGTACCAGTTCTTATGATCATGGAGATACTAGTGCTCTTGATAGTTCTCATGAGGAGCGACGGAGGACACGCATTTTGAGAAATGCAAAGCCGCAAACAATTAGAAAATACAAGGGCAGATATGTCATTCATTGCGATGGAGGAAGGTATGTTTTATATATTATTTTTTTAAAATTTAAGTTTGAGTTTTTTTTAATGTCAATACTAACTCAATATTTTTTTGGTTAGTTTTATACCATCACACCAGGCAGTATCATGTATAACATAAGTTATTAAAGAAAAGTATAAAAAGTTTTGGCCGACATATGGAGCACTTCTCGAAAAAGAAAAGGAAGATTGGTTTAGTTTATTTCAGGTATAAAAGTAACTATTATTTTAATTTATTATATATTTAGTTTATTTCATGATTTAACATTATTTAATTTTTTAAAATTCATAAAACAATGTAGCAGAAATGTGTTTGGGACATTACAGAGTAGCAACAAGTAAGAGGAAATTTTTGATACAAAATGTGCTGCCCGGTTATCCGACACACTTAGACGTGTTCGAATTAATTGGAAAAATAAAGGAACACGTCCATGTTGGATAGGTGAAGATGTATTTAAGCAATTTATTGACCATTGGAATTCGGAAACCTTTAAGCAAGTATTTGAAAAAGCAAAAAAAAAAAAACAGGGCATCTGAAGTTGGTGGCTGCAACTACACAGCAGGAAGTATTAGTGTTGCTGAAATTGCACATAGGCTGGTAAATTTATTTATTTTACTTAAGTTTTCATTTAAAATTTAGATTAAAAAAAACTATTTTTTCACTTATATGTTTTATTTTATTAGCGTGATGAGTTGGGTAGAACTCTGATGCTTAATGAGATCCATCTAGAGACTCATATCAAGAAAAATGGGGAGTTTGTTGATAAACGCTCAAAGGAAACTCAAGTAAGTTTTGCTAAAATTTAGTCATTTTATTTCTTTCTTTTATAACATGTTATTTAGTCATCTTATTTAAATTATTATAACATCTAACTTTTTTTATAGGAGCAGTATGATCGAAGACTTGCACTTTCTTTATTTGAGCATCCTGAGTTACCTCCACCACCATAGGGATACCCTGTTGATCCTTGTCTAGGTTTTCAGACTTGGTATGATGCTGCTCGCGGGAAGAGGAAAAATGAAAGGGTGTATGGTGCTGGAGGGTATGCCAAAACAATTAAGCGACGTGATAGAACTTTCAGGATGAGACTTGATGATGGAGAAGGATCATCGCGTCCACCTATATTAACCGCTGATATGCTTGAAACTGTGAGAAATTTGGCTCAGACCGAGGCAGCACGTGAGGCAGCAGCTAGACAAGCAGAGATGGAGGAAATAAGGAGAAGACAAGCTCAGATTGAGGAGAAAAACAGCGGAGTATGAGGAAGCAATGCGGATTGCAAATGAACGCGCATTGAAATTTGAACAATTTATGGCATTGCATATGAATCAAGGTGTGGGAGGAAGAGATGAGGAAGATGAGGAGGATGAGGAGGATGATGAAGAAGTTGACTAAATGTGTCATGAACTATATATATTTTTATATTTTATTTTATTTTTGTCATGAATTATTTTTATTTTGATGATGGATTTGGATATTTACTTTTATTACACTTTTAGTTATAAATTATTATTTTACAAAATATATATTTTTATTTATTATATAATTATATTAAAATATATATTTTTATTATATAATTATATTATTATAATTATAATAATATAATTATAAAATGTAATTAAAATTTATTATATAATATATTCACTACGCCAGAAATCACTTTTAGCAGCGCATAGAAAGACAGCGCTTTATACAAAAGCGCTGCTAAAGGGCCAGTAAAAAAAAAGAAAAAAAGCGCCTACCAAAGACAGCACTTTTAAAAAAGCGCTGCTAAATGGTGGGCCTAAGAAAGCGCTTTTAAAAAGCGCTGCTAAAGGGGGGGCCTACGAAAGCGCTTTTCAAAAGCGCTGCTAAAGGGGGACCCTTAGAAAGCGCTTTTTATATAAAGCGCTGCTATATGGAATTGATAAGGCACCCTATGAAAGCGCTTTTAAAAGCGCTGCTAAAGGCCTTTAAAAGCGCTGCTATAGGTATTCATATTATAATTTTAAAATACCCTCCAGAATTTTAATAGAATCAAAACAGTCACGCAACACATTTCTTCTTTCTCTGGCGAACGAAAACGAACGAACGAACCACTGTTCATCGTCCGACCATCAACTTCTTCCGTCCGACCATCACCGACCGTTCACCGTCCGTTTTTGAGTTCATCCATCCGTCTGCATTGCCGGTCCACCATTGTTACGGTACGTGAAGCTTTACTCTGCTTTTCTTGTTTTTTTTTTATCTTTTCACCATTGTTGTTCTGATGATATAGATGGTTTTTATCTTTTCAATGATGGTTTTTGTTGTTGTTGTGTTATTTGTTGTTGTGTTAATATGATATATGAGATATATATGATATTGTTGTTGTTGTTGATGTAAAATAGTTTATATAGATGGTTTGTATTTGATATAGTTTATATTTGATATAGATGGTTTGTGTTATAGTTTATATTTGATATAGATGGTTTATATTGTGTTATATAGATGGTTTGTATTTGTTATAGTTGATATAGATGGTTTATATTTGTGTTATATAGATGGTTTGTGTTATAGTTTATATTTGATATAGATGGTTTATATTTGTTATAGTTTATATAGATGGTTTGTATTTGATATAGTTTATATTTGATATAGATGGTTTATATTGTGTTATATAGATGGTTTGTGTTATAGTATATATTTGATATAGATGGTTTATATTTGTTATAGTTTATATAGATGGTTTGTATTTGATATAGTTTATATTTGATATAGATGGTTTGTGTTATAGTTTATATTTGATATAGATGGTTTGTGTTATAGTTTATATTTGATATAGATGGTTTATATTTGATATAGATGGTTTATAGATGGTTTGTTATAGTTTATATTTGATATAGTTAATATGATATCTGATATATATGATATTGTGTTATAGTTTATATTTGATATAGATGGTTTGTTGTTGTTGTTTAATATGACATTTG